GGCACACAAGGTGGCCAAAGTTTTGATTGTAGATGTTGACTGCAAAATTGAAAAAATGGAAAGGGTTTTACAATTTATCAGGAAGGAAATGCATTAACCTGGTTTTGACACAAAATCGATTGGACCGGTGGGTTGCTAAGTAGCCTCAGTCCAAGCATTGGTCGTTCCGGTAAATGCATCTCTTCGGTTATTATGGTGACTCGGCCCGGCTTAAAGGCTTGTTCTCAGTTGAATCGGTTAAACTATTTGGGCCGGGCCGAGTTTTAAAAAATTAGAGTAAACGACATGTGCCTACTTCCTACCCAAGGTTTGGTGAAATCTGAGGATGGTACACTGGTTTCATAAATTTCAAATCTTTACCCTTAAATGGATGTTGTTAGTGATGAATGGGTTGTGACATAGGGATAGAGGCTTTTTTACCAAATTACCCTTAGACCTTCTTCTTCTCCCTCTCCCCTCCTCTTCTTTATAGCCCATTCCAAACCACCCCATCCCAAACCACCACTACAATTGGCCCTTCTTCTTTCCCAACACAACAATCAAAATAAAAAATCAAACAAAAAAACAAAACAAAAAACTAAATTGAAAATAAAAGTAATCAAAAATTGATTCCACAATCCAATCAAACTCCAATTTCAACTGATTTCGCGAAAACCAAAGTTGAGTGTCAGTAGTGAACGACAGACAATTGTGGTAAGGAAGGTTGGGGGTTTTGAAGGGGAGATGCCTGTGAGTGCAACGGTGGTGTTGTTTTGGGTTGAGGCTGTCATAATCAATCAAAATTCGGTTAAAAACAGTCACACAGCGCATAAAAAAATTCAGTTGTGGCCGTAGCGGAAATGACCAAAAAAGGGTCGGCGTCGACAAGGATGAGGGAAAGCGGAAGATGAAGAGGTGGAGGCAGAGAGATTTGAGATTTGGGATTATTTAGGTTATTTTATCCTTTTAATTTCAAAATAGCGTAAAAACTATTTTAGCCTTCCACTCGTAAAATAAAGAAAACGGAGTTAGTTTATGGTGGGAATCTGGAATAGATGTAACCGGTATCCGCTTGGGATTTCACCAAATCTTGAGAGGGAATATGTTCGTTTACTCTAAATTAAATGTCATTGGATGCCAAAACAATTTAATTTGTAATTTCTCCAGTAATTGTAATAGTTGATATTGTTGGTTATATAGCTTAATATATTTCTGAGGTGCACTATTTCTAGTGAACGACTAAGTTTTGAAAGCTGGTTGATAATGAAATAAGCCTAATTTTATAGTATGATGAATTAATATGTTATAAAATACTAATTCAATGATCTTTTAACCAAGTCATATATATTACACGCTTAAATTTGATAGATTAATTCACTTAGTTATATTGAATAAAATTTTGCTTTTTATAATAAATTGATCCATTAATCATATGCCATATGCCCATATATATATATATATATGAACAAAAATTGAGATAGTTTTCTAGTGCAGGGAGGACAAAGTTTTCTTGTGCATTGATGAATGATGATCCAGAGCTTAATTTGAAGTGATCAAAAGCTAACTCATCTGGTGATTTGATGAGCCCAAGAAAAAAAGATTTGGGTCTTTGTATATAATGATAAAATTTGTATTAATACATAGTTTTGTGAATAAACATGCAGACCACCCAATAATTCTTATATATATTTATATATATATATAATTATATATATATATATATTCTGCAGTACTGTTGATTTTATTATTATAGCACCATAATAACTAATAATAATACATGATTCTATAAGCCTGGACAGTTCCGAATTGAGATTAAATTTCTCCATCCCAGAAATCCTCAATTGATTTGTAAGGACCTTCCTCTGATGCTGCAAACTCCGCAGGATTTCCTCTGCTCTGTGGGCTTTGTCCTGTCTTGTCCAGTTCATTTTGAGTTAATTTCCAATCAATGTCCCTAGATTCTCTTTCATTCTTTCTTTGTTAAAGCTCTTCACAAGTACACTTACTCGTTGCTCGTAAACCCATTGCAGACAAATCTTCACATGCACCAAATCAACCCCCTATTAAGTTATGAATAAGATATGTGTAGCTTGTGATGAATAAAATTTATGTAATATTTATACTAAAATAAGATCATCAACTCCGGAAACTAATTAATTACCTGAGCAAGTGTTTTCCCTTTAGCACTTGCAATCTCTTGGAGCCCTTGACAATCCATGACTCGGTCAGTTCCCCAAAGTGTTCCTTTGGCTCCTAATGGCGAATAAGCTGTTATATGGATGCCCTTTTCCTCACAGAATTTCCTCAGCTTCTTCTGTTGCCAAACTGGATTCAAATCCATCTTACAAATAATACACTCATGATTTATCGATATACGTAACATTAAAATATTAAATTTTCTTAAAAAATTGACTTACTTGATTGACAACAGGAGGGATTTTTGCAGTGGCAAGTAAGTCCTCAAGCTTCTTGCATGAAAAGTTGCTGACTCCTATGGATTTGGTTAGACCAATCTTTTGACATTCCTCCATGGCTCCCCAAACGGACTCAAAGTCCATTTTCATCATGTCCTCTTTCTTAAATGAAAGCCCTGTGGATTCTGATCCCTGTCTCAAGCTTAACGGATAATGAATAAGATAGAGATCAAGGTACTCCAATCCAAGATTCCTGTATCCAACAAAATATTAATTAAAAGCCTGTAAATAAAAGGCAAAAGTTTTAACATCGATCAATTGGCTATATTACTTGAGAGTGGTTTGTAGCGCGGGGACGGCAAGGTCACCGTGAGCATTTTTGAACCAAAACTTGGAATTGATGAAAAGCTCATCGCGAGATTTGATGAGGCCAAGGCGTAAGGCTTCGGTTATGGCTTCGCCAAGAGATTGCTCGGTCTGGTAGATTGCAGCAGTGTCAAAATGTCTGTAGCCGCTTGAATTGCCTGGAGAGCAAATTCGTTTACTGAGTGGAAAGGAAATGCAGCAGTGCCAAAGCCTACATGAGGAATAGTTTTGCCAGTTGAGGCTAAGGGTGCCACTGGAATATTGCTCACCATTTTCAATAATAGAAGAGGAGTATGATTTTAAAAGAGAACCAGCCGGCAGCTAAGCATTATGAAATCAAACTTATGCAATATACGGTCAAATACATATTTAAAAAACGAAAATGTGGGTAGTTGATGATTGAAATATTTTAATTTAGTAAGTTTGAAGAGGGCCAGAATCAGAAAACGAAATATTTTACTGAAAGAGGGGAAATGAATCAGTCAAAGATTTATTCTGAAAGTGATTTTAACATTTGTTTTTATATATAAATTAATTATGTATTATGAACCCATTCATAATTTCCGATCAATAAATTTATTTTTACGGCTTTAAAATATTTTTATCCTTAAGGTTTGGTGTAAGCAACATTTAACTTAGTAATTGTAAAGAGTAACACTACAAATCAATGGTGGAAATCGGACAGATTAAATGGTACGTAGGGTTGAAATACTATGTTCAGTTTTATCATTTATTTATTTTAATTGTGATATGGGCTTAATTTTCTGTAAATATCCAATTTTGCCCCTCAATTTAACGAATTGGGCTAACATACGTTAGATTTTGGGTGAAATTATCACTGTATTGTAACATTTTGATTTGTGATGTCACTTTTTTGAACCTGTAAGTGTTACTTACACTAAACTTTTAAGGGTGATTATGTCTTAAAGCCTTATTTTTTCTAAGAATAAAATAAAGATAATAGTGCTCCAGCCCTGAATGTTCCACATCTGTTAGAGGGAAATTGATGAATTCACAACTTAGAAGTATTTTTTATTTTTTCTTTTGATCTATAATTCAAAGTACATTTAATTAAAAATATAAATTTACCGAACAATTTATAGAATTTCCTTATTTTAAAAGTGGAATTTAGAAGCCACAACTTGAACTTAAATTTCTCCATCCCAGAAGTCCTCGTTGGATTTGTAAGGACCTTGCTCTGATACTGTAAACTTCCCAGGATTTCCTCGCCTCGGCAGAATTTGTTCTATCTTGTCCAATTCTTCTTTTGTTAGCTTCCAATCAAATATATATAAATTTTCTTTCATTCTTTCTTGGTTGAAGCCCTTCACAAGTACACTGATTTGCTCGTAAACCCATCGGAGATAAACCTTCGCATGCACCAAATTAAAATAACCCCCAGTTAATTAGTAAGCTACTAGACATGTTCGCCGCTATTAAAAAAATATACATATTTACATAATCTATGTGAAGAACTCATGAACAAGTTGTCAATTTTTAATTGGCAGAGACTTAGAGATTTAGGGTCAAGATTCACCGGAGTAATTTACAGCAATTCAGGAACAAGATGTTGATTGCACTATGGAATATCATTTACTAGTTGTTTCCATAAAAAGAAAATCACAATCTTAACTACTACACACTCAAATCCCTTCCTTTATCACTATAATCTAAACGTCTGTTTCACCGAAAAACTGCATTTGAAATATGCTTTCGCTTTGTCTTTTTTACACTTATAGTAAAGTAGTTCTTTCAAGTGATGAAAATGAAATTAAACAGGTTTTGTACTTGGAAATGAAATTTATTATTCTAATTTTTTTAGTGATACTCATTTCAAAGAGGGTATTACTAGGAATTGTAGTGAACTCATTCAGTGACCCAATGATTTTTTCTAACTTTCTAAATACGATATCGAACTTAACGTAAGATCGATTTTATTTAAGTCTATCAAACATCTTTGTAAGCTTTATTATTAATTTAATTCATTAAAAAAATAGAGTCTGGAATTACTGCATACATAAATGGCAAAGAGATTGAAATTTATTATTTTAGTTTGATTTATCTTTATTGGCATAGTTTTCACTCATGGAATACAAGTTTTTATTAAACGATGACTGTAGATAATCGTTTTGTGGAAACAGTTTTACATAATTAATGACACAATAACACAAACCAAATGGTTATGAACCGTTTGATCTTATTATTCTAGTACAATCACAAACATTAATACCTTAATGAACTTTATATTTCTCCATCCCAGAACTCCTCGATGGATTTGTAAGGACCTTGCTCTGTTACTGTAAACTCAGCAGGATTTCCTCGGCTCTGCGGGATTTTTGAAATCTTGTCCAGTTCTTCTTGACTTAATTTCCAATCAAATATATCTAGATTCTCCTTCATTCTTTCTTGGTTGAAGCTCTTAACAAGGACACTTACTCTTTGCTCGTAAACCCACCGGAGACAGATCTTCACATGCACCAAAATAACCCTCAGTTAATAAGTTATATATGTAAACAACTCATGAACAAGTTGTCATTCTTTAATTAACTGACAAAGACTTAGAGATTTGGAGGTGTTCAATATTCTCTGCACTATTTTACGAGGAACAAGTTGCCAATTTTTTAAATTTACAAAGACTTGGGATTTGGAGTCAATAGACTCCCCATGCTTTTTGTTACAACTTAGTGCACTGCTCTTTATATAATGCTTTCATGTGCATGCATGGAGTCTTGTGCACAGCTAAAATGACCTAAGTGACTCACCATCAAAGTTCAAACAAGTTATAAATTAAATAACCTATCTTTTTTTCTGTGCTTTGAAAATTTAGAAGTAAATTTAATAGCCATAACAAGGAGATAATGATCCTACCATGATATTTCATGAACTTATAGAACAAGTCCTCTCTTCCCTGACCAGGAAGTGATGTATAAACTCCATCTATATATATATATAAGGTTTAGTATACAACGAGATCATCACAATCATCCACATAATTACCTAAAAATCCAAGTTATAGATCCGAAAAACTATTTATGTACCTGAGCGACTGACTTCCCCTTGGCTCTTGCAATCTCTTGGAGCACTTCAGAATCCATGACTCGGTTAGTTCCCCAAAGTGCTCCCTTGGCTCCTAATGGCGAGTAAGCTGTTATGTGGATGCCCTTTTCCTCACAGAACTTCCTCAGCTTCTTTTGTTGCCAAACTGGGTTCAGCTCCACCTTATAAGGAAACGAAACATAAGATATACTCAATACTTATCGATATAAAAAACACATAAATATTTAATTTTGTTAAGAATTGACAAACTTGATTGACAGCAGGAGGGATCTTCGCAATGGCAAGTAGCTCCTCAAGCTTCTTGCATGAAAAGTTACTGACTCCGATGGATCTGGTAAGACCAAGCTTTTGACATTCCTCCATGGCCCTCCAAACAGACTCAAAGTCCATCTTGACAATATCCTCTTTCTTCAATAAAAGGCTTAAATCTGACCCCGGTCTCAAGCTTAACGGATAATGAATGAGATAGAGATCAAGGCACTCCAAGCCCAAATTCCTGTATTCAACAAAATATTGATTAGAAGTCTTTACTCCATAGTCTTTACATAAAAGGAAAAAATTTTAACATCGATCGTTTGGCTACATTACTTGAGAGTGGTTTGTAGCGCGGGGACGACAAGGTGACCGTGAGCATTGTTGAGCCAAAGCTTGGAAGTGATGAAAAGCTCATCGCGTGATTTGATGAGCCCATGGCGTAAAGCTTCGGCTATTGCTTCGCCAAGAGGTTGCTCGCAGAGGTAAAGTGCAGCGGTATCAAAATGTCTGTAGCCGAGTTTAATTGCATGGAGAGTCGATTCTTTTACGGAGTCGGTTGAGTTGAATGGATATTCGGCTGTGCCGAAGCCTACAAGAGGAATGGTTTTGCCATTGGAGGGCAAGGTTGCCACTGGAACGTTCACCATTTTCTCAAGATATTTCCCTGTATGATTATTAGAACTATTGCAATTTTGTGGTGTGGTTCTATCTCTCTGGTCTTAAGCTTTTATAAGACAACGGAAGGGTTGGCTAAAGGACAATTCTACCCTTTACTTTTCCACTAATTAATTTTTAATGAATAATATGTATATCAAATCTGAGATTCCATCTTTTAATTCTTTTAATATGGTGTAAATTACGCATAAGCATTAACTCAATACAATTATTAATCACAGTTAAAAGATTCATGTAAGACTAATCACGTGAACAAATTAAGTTAAATAGTTAACAACTTCACTGATAAAAGATACCACAAAGATACTACGTCACCCGTATCATCAATTAATAAATTATTGTCACATAGAATTTTAAATTGATAACTACTAATCACTTTAATGATAAATATTCAGTGGAGAGAAAATATTCATAGGTGGTGTCAATGCATTGGTAGGTGGTATGGGTGACATGATACCCCGTGACATTCTAGATTTTTTGATAAAAGATAATAAGATATATTGATTCCGAATTTCAGGGGAAGGAGAGAGTTTATTTTTATTTTTATTTTTATTATAAACAACTCTAAATTATAATGACAACTATGAGTATACATACCATTGAATGATATTACATAATTCAAGGTGCAAAACTTGAAATATAAATTTGTGATACAAAATATTGTTTAGAACGTCTTGAAACAATGTGTCAGGATATAATATTATTTAAGGATTTCAAGTGAATATGTTGTTAAATAATCTTTTAAGTTAATAAAATATTGATCTAACTTATAGAATTCAATATTCATGTGAGTTAACAACTTTTTTCCATCCAAAAAATGGCTTAATGATATTTTTCCACCCACATACTTTTAAAATACTATTTTATTACCCAAATTTATATTCCAACGTCAAACAGAGAACAAATCAATTCAGGCTGTTTGGGCTTTTGAAGAGGGGAGGCCGACGAGTCTTTTGGTGGTGAAAGGTTGAATTTGGCAATTGAGATTGATTGAAATTTGACTTGGGATGGGAGGCTACAAAAACCCTAATCGCTTGATTGCTGGAGATTGGCGGGGTCGGCGGTAGCAAGGTTTGAAGGGTTTTAGTGAGTGATGATCGGGAAAGAGAATGATGGTAGTGTGAGGTCGCAACAATGCCGAAATCAGAAACAAAATATAAATTTAGGTAGTAAGGTGATATTTTAAAAGTCTATGGGTAGGAAAGTGTCATTAAGCCATTATTTGGGTGAAAAAAATTCGTTTACTCTATTCATGTGCAAGGAATACTTTTAGAGATACCCCACGTGGGCTATTTATTATTTAAAGAGTTTAGGTGAATATATTATTAAATGATCTTTGTATTAGTTGTTCCTGATTCTAAGTTTTGATTTATTAATTAATCATATCTCATTATTTATGTGGAAGGAATACTTTTCGTGACAAGGTCATGAGTTGGCATACAAAATCAAGATTATGATTTTTCCTTTACTACCGACACAATCAAATCCCTTTCCTTATATCTATACAGTATAAACTTCATAAACCTTAAGGCAGGTAATTGTAATTAAACTTTTTTTATTTAATTTTAATACAAAATATTAACGGTGTGTTCTTTTAAGAATTTTGTGTATCGATTTTTTGTTTTTTTGAAAATATTAAAAACGATTCAGAAATTTGAAAAATTAAAAGTACGAAATCTATCATATACACAACTGATAAAAACTCTTTCAAATTACCACTTATTTTATTTGTCTCAAATAGTTTATCTCAAATTAGTCATTTTTTTTTTTATTCTCGTTTGCCATTTATTGATAAGAATATTAATTTAACCAGAAGTTTTTGATTGATAAGGGATGACTGATGAGAGAGAATATAATGAGGAAAAAATTAAATATTTTTATTGGAAGTTTTACCTCTCATTGTTCTTAAATTCTCTGTGTTGTGACAACGACTACAGAAAATTCATATACCAACTCTTACCACACATTTTACGAGTGAGAAAAAAATAAAAAACAGGAAACTAATTCATAAACGAGCAAGCCCATATAAACTGAGTGATTCTCGTTATCTTTTCTTGCAAGTACTTAGGTTATCAGTCTTGAAAATACGTGAAATAATGAAGCATATATAATTCAGAGAAGGGTGATTTAGAGTTTCAACTCCAGTAAAATTCAAAATATGAAGACTTTCTGAACCGAAGCTCCCTGCAAGGTAAGATTTTAGCTATGGGCAGAAATCAACCTGGATTTGGAATCTAGCTTTGATGCAAAAAATAAACAGAAGAATCTGCAACTTGCCTGATTTCGGTAAACCCCATGGGGATAATGGGGTTATGAAAAAGTTGGATAGGGTGATGGGCAATTCTCTTTTTATGGCTACTAATCCGAGAGCTAACACGTTCTTCTTCCCTCAAGGGATAAGTGATCATAGCCCTGCTGTGACTGTTTTTCCCGAACTCATGGCGAGTAAGACTCGACCTTTCAAAATTTTCAACTATTTGGTGTACAAGGAGGATTTTAGACCATTGGTTCAGCAGGTTTGGGATACTCATATACCTGGATTTCCTTTATTCTCAGTAGTGCAGAAACTGAAAGCCCTCAAACCTTACTTTAGAGCCCTTAATAGGAAGCAAGGTGATCTCACTCAGAAGGTGGCAGTGCTTAGGAAAGAGGTTGAAAATATTCAGTGTGCCCTTGATGTTGACCCTCATAATAGAGAATTAAGGGAACAAGAAGCAGTCTTTTTAGGGCGTTTAGAGAAGCATTGTTGGATGAGGAAAGACTTCTGAAACAAAAGTCCAAGATTCATTGGTTAAGTGTTAGGGACCAAAATACTGCCTTCTTTCATAAATCTCTGAAATCTTATACGAATATCAAGCGAATGGACAAAATATCTCTTGATTCGTATGAAGTTGTGGAAGGTCAGGATATGGCTAAAGCTTTTGTGGATTATTACCAAAATCTCCTTGGTATAGCTCCCTTGGTCTCAAGTATGGAAGGCCTTGATAATTTGTTCCAATCCAAAGTATCTGAGTCGCATTGCATGAACATAATCCGTGAGGTTAGTAAACAAGAAATTAAAAGTGTTATTTTTTTTATGGGTTGTGACAAAACTTCGAGTCCGAATGGGTTCTCCTCAAAATTCTTCAAAGTAGCTTGGAGTATTATAAGGGATGAAGTGTCGGGGGCAATTATTGAATTCTTCAACAATGGTAAACTTTTGAGGGAGGTGAACTTTACGGTGATAGGGCTAGTTCCTGAGTTAGATATCCCGCAAAAAGTGGGTGATTTCCGACCAATATCCTGCTGTAATGTACTTTACAAAGCCATTTCCAAAATTATAGCTAACCGAGTGAAAGGATGCTTAGGAGACCTTGTGGGAGTGAATCAATCAGCTTTTATTCTGGGCAGGCGTATAAGTGACAATATTATGTTAGCTCAAGAGCTATTTAGGAACTACCACTGTAGTACTTAAGCTACTAGATGTGCTTTTAAAGTGGCTATAGAAAAAGCTTATAATAGTGTTGATTGGGGCTTCTTGATCCAAACCCTGAAATACTTTGGCTTCCTGGAAAAAATGATAGGATGGATTAAACAATGTGTTACCACTCCTTCCTTTTCGGTGGCTATAAACAGGGAACATCATGGGTTCTTTCAAGGAAAAAGAGGATTAAGGCAAGGGGATTCCCTTTCCCCTTACTTATTTATGTTGGTAATGCAGGTTTTATCTCTCATTATTGGTCATAAAATATGGGAAAGAGAGGGATTCAAATACCACTATTGTTGTGATAAACTTGGGATAAGTCATCTTTGCTTTGCGGATGACTTATTCCTTTTTTTCCATGGGGAGACGCCCTTAGAGAGTCTTCTAAATTATCTGGCCTGGTTCCAAACATTGCCAAAAGCTACTCATTTTTCTATAATGTGAAAGATAAGCACCAGGTAGCTATCAACAATATTATGGGCTTTGCTGAAAGAAAGCTCCCTATCAGATATCTTGGTGTCCCCCAAGTTACCACCAAATTATTTCATAGAGATTGTTTGCCCTTAATTGATAAGATGGAGCAATGATTGAAGTCCTAGAAAAATCGAAGTTTATCTTATGCTGGTAGGTTGCGGTTAATTATCTCGGTGCTCTCTTCTATCCATATTTATTGGGCATCTGTCTTCATTCTTCCTAGCTCAGTTATCCAGACAATAGAAAAACTTTTGCGATCGTTTCTTTGGTCTGGCAACAACATGAGCAAAGGGAAGGTAAGGGTTGCATGGAAAGATGTCTGTATTCCTAAAAATGAGGGTGGTCTGGGAATTAGGTCTCTCAGAAGTAAGAACATTGCTCTGATGATATACCATCTTTGGAGTATATTGTCAGAAAGGGACTCCTTATGGGTCAAACAGATCCATACTTACAGGCTAAAGGGGAGTTTTTTGGAATATCAGTGTTGAATGGGATGCGAATTGGTGTTGGTGTAAATTATTGAAAACGAGGGAACAAGTCAGAAATCATATTAGGACTACTCTTGGTAATGGACAGGATACTTATTTGTGGTTTGATAATTGGCACCCGTAGGGACCGCTTGACGAGATTATTCCTTCATGTATCTCCTACCTTTCAGGCTTGGGGCATAATGCCCAAGTGAGTGACATCATTAGAAATGAGCTATGGGAGTGGCATGAAATTCTTGGGGTAGAATATCCAGTGGTAACGAATCACACACCTCCCATCCCCACAGCTAGCACAAGGGACAGCCTATATTGGTAGGATAAAAATGGTAAAAGGGTCCAATTCTCCACTAGACAGGTTTGGAAAGACCTTTACATGGAAAATAGGTCTGCCCCTTGTTGTTCTTTAATTTGGAATGGCACTTGTATACCTCGCCACTCTTTATTGCTTGGCTTGCCATTAATCAAAAACCTTTAACATAGGATAGAATGCAAAGATGGATGTATTCAGAAGAACTTTGTTGTAGACTCTGCAATTGTAACGCCCCAC